TCTAATACTAACCTTACTGTTTGTGTCACTTGACCCCACTCCCTCTAGCATGTATGCTCATTGAGCAGGGCACTCAACCCCTCTGTTCCTGTGTGTCCAACTTGTCTGGTTACAATTACATGTTTGTTTGTCCATTCACTGTAAAGTGCTGCAGAATTTGTTGGCGCTATATAAATAATAACATAATAATAATAACAGGGACACTGCACCTACACCACTTCAATGAGATGAAGTGGTCTGGGTGACTATAGTGTCCCTTTAACATATTATTAATTATATTGAAATTGAAAGTTACGTTTTAGTGTTTGCAGATGAGATACAACTCTGTAGAGTAATACAAAGTGAGCAGGGGGACTTTGAATCAGAGGGGTTTAGATAGATTTGGGAACTATGCACTCAAATGACAGATTAAATTTAATGCAGATAAATGGAAAGAATGCACAAGCAATTTACACTCTAAACTGCAGTGAATAAGCAATAACAATGCATGAGACGGATTTGGGAGTTGTTAACCCCTTCCCGACCGAGGACGGTTCAGGACCGTCATCGGCATTTTCCCATTGCCGACCGATGACGGTCCTGAACCGTCCTAACGGTTTCCGTTACTTACCTGATCGCCGTCGTTCCCCCGGCGGCGATCAGCGTGGCTCCGGTTGTGGGGAGACTGCCTGCAGCCCAGACAGTCTCCCCACACTGATTTAGGACCCCTGTGGCCATGTGATCGCTTAACACAGCGATCACATGGTCACAATAGGTGTCCTAGTGTCTGCCTGCAGGGGGACTGTCTGTGCTGACAGGCAGTCTCCCTGCTAGTGTAAAATCAAAAAAATAAAATAAAGTTAATGTTAATAAAAAAAATAATAATAATTATATATGTGTATATATGATATATAGACATATATTATATCTATATAATATATGTCTATATATCATATATATAATGCCATACTAAGTGTATTTTTATATTAATATGTACTTATATTAATATAAAAATACACTTATAATTAAATTACACACGTATATATAATATATATAATAACTATATATATTGTATATATATATTATTATAAAATATAAATAATAAGTAATTTAAATTAAATAATTTTTTTAAAATAATAATAAAAATTTTTAAAAAAATTATATAGCTATATGAAATTTTATTCTAACTGTATTTTAAAATTAATATATATATATTTATATCAAAATACACTTAGAATGAATTTGTATATATATCTATGTATATATAAATAAAAATAATACGAAATATACATATGTCCATATACAAAATTACATAAATAATTATATAAATATACACGTAGACTTAAACTATATAAATATGCATATATATTTAAATTCTACGTGCATATTTATGTAATATTTTTACATAATTCAGTAATTTTATTGATTGCAATTTGAGGACCTGCCTGCCAACCCAGGCCGAAATTCCAGAGAATTTAATTTGCTAGCACTGTATTTTACCCTGTAACGTTCTACGACACCCTAAAACCTGTACATGGGGGGTACTGTTTTACTCAGGGAGACTTCGCTGAACACAAATATTAGTGATTCAAAACAGTAAAACATATCACAGCGATGATATTGTCAGTGAAAGTTACTTTTTTTGCATTTTTCACACACAAACAGCACTTTTACTGATGATATAATTGTTGTGATACGTTTTCCAGTTTTAAACACTAATATTTGTGTTCAGCGATGTCTCCCGAGTAAAACAGTACCCCCCATGTACAGGTTTTATAGCATTTTTGAAAGTTACAAGGTCAAATATATGGGTCAAATATTTTACATTGAAAATGGCCAGGTTGGTCACGTTGCCTTTGAGAGCGTATGGTAGCCCAGGAATGAGAATTACCCCCATGATGGCATACATTTGCAAAAGAAGACAACCCAAGGTATTGCAAATGGGGTATGTCCAGTCTTTTTTAGTAACCACTTGGTCACAAACACTGGCCAAAATTAGCGTTCAATTTAGTTTTTTTACTTTTTCACACACAAACAAATATGAATGCTTACTTTGGCCAGTGTTTTCGACTAAATGGCTACTAAAAAAGACTGGACATACCCCATATTGAATACCCTGGGTTGTCTACTTTAAAAAAAATATGTACATGTGGGGTGTTATTCAGAGATTTATGACAGATAATAGTGTTACAATGTCACTATTGATAAATTTTAAAAATGTATGTTTTGAAACCGCAATATCCTACTTGTACCTATAGCCCTATAACATGCAAAAAAAAGCAAAAAAACACGTAAACACTAGGTATTTTTAAACTCAGGACAAAATTTTGAATCTATTTAGCAGTTTTTTTCATTCGCTTTTGTAGATGAGTAAAAGATTTTTCAAGTAAAAGTAAAAAAACATGTATTTTTTCAATTTTTCATCATATTTTTTTATTTTTTTTAAATTAAAATACATGAGATTATATAAATAATGGTATGTAAAAAAAGCCCCTTTTGTCCTGAAAAAAACAATATATAATTTGTATGGGAACAGTAAATGAGAAAGCGGAAAATTACAGCCAAACACAAACACCACAAAAGTGTAAAAATATGCCTGGTCGCAAATGTACAACATCGCAAAAACAGTCCAGTCCTTAAGGGGTTAAAGACAACAAAGTAGGCAACAATGTGCAATGTCAATCCACAGTTGCTAATGCCAGTAAGGTATTGTCATGTATAAATAGTGGAATTTATTCTTGGAATGAATCTATAATCTTACCTCTTCATAAATCAATGGTAAAACCACACCTTGAATATTCTGTGCAATTTTGGACACTTCTTCTAAAAAAAGATATTATGGCACTAGAAAAGTGCAGAGACAGGCTACAAAATTAATAAAAGGAATAGAACATTTTAATAAGGAAGAAAGGTTAGCAAATTAAATCTGTTTAGTTTAGAAAAACAGTGCCGTATACAAATATATTGGGGGCCAATACAAAAAGGACATTTTTCCCTAGTTTGTTGCAAATTAGTTTTTTTTGCCTTCTTTTGGATCAACAGCAAAAACAGGTGTAAGAGAGACTGAACTGGATGGACGCTTGTCTCTTTTCAACCTAAACTATATAAGATCATAGGAGAGAAGGCAAGATGGCCCCCGAATCTAGACACAGGTCATAGGCTTTAAGAGAATCCACTCATCAAAACTTCTTAGATCTGGGAAGGTCGCCTAAGCTGTGCTCTCAGCTAGGGGATAAACCTACAATAATAAAACAAAAAAATTACAGAATCCCAGCTACTCATCTGCTGAGATCAGAGGGTGGGTAGTGGGATAGAGAGCTCAGACTAAAAGAGTAAAAATTAACATTTATTAATAACTAGATCATAATTACTGAGACCAAAAAAAACAGAAATCCGCCAAACATGTAGCGTCTCTGGGGTCTGGCTGAAAAAGGCGCGAGTAGAGGTAAAGGTACAGGAAAAGATAAGGATGTAGATGGTATCCACCAAACAATTAGTACAGGACAGAGCTGGATTATCAAGAGAAAACAATTCCCTATAGAAATAACCTAAATACAGATAAAGAGAATGGGAATCAAAAAGTCCATGCTTCCCTCACATATGCATAAGTTAGAACCAAAGCCTAGGTACGTAAAAAAGAGGGGGGGGAAGTGGGGGGGCACATGGACTAAATGTCTATCTACCATAACCCCTGGAGTATAGAAATAAATTAAATAAAAGCAGCAAACAAGCATAAAGTATGTAAACGGGCTACTGTCCTTGATTACCTCGGCACCGCACAAGGCTAGTGCCTAACAAAACGAAAGACCCTCAGAGTACCTAAATTACAAAAAATTAATAAGGAAAAAGGGCATAGTGCTACCCTAAAAAGGTGTAGAAAAAAATTACCTATGTAGCTATATATGTAACATTGGATTAAGGACCAATGACTAGATTACTTATCTAGGGTTACATTGTAGCACCTTTAGACCAGAGGACTGGAAATGTCCTGACCAATAGCACATAGTAATGGTCATTACCCTCCATGTCACAGTGCATAAAATGAATAGACAAACATTTATATTTAATTCCTAAAGGGAAATTATCTAAATGAACCTTCCTTTCACAGATACAGGACATGACAGGCGCTAGCTCCATCTCTTCACGGTTCCACCTACAGCGTGATAAAATGCTTTTGTCTGCTACTAACATACTTGTTACTTCTGAGTTCAAGTTACACATTCTTTAAGTTACTAAAATAAATAAATGACCAAGTTTGCTTTTTGCTATTTTAACAGAAAATATGTATGTATTGTGTTCTGTGTGCCATTAAACTTGTTTATACCTGATACCGTGATGTTCTACTATTGAATTTTCCTAGGTCATTTTTGGGTTCAGATTCAATGGGTTTGATTTATTGTTGCATGTAAAAAACAGAGTAAACAAGAAAAAGATTTACCTTCCGAAAGATTTAAGATCTGTGAGATTTACAAGTCTGACTCATGGTATTGAAAAGCAGCATAAATGTACAGCTCCAATGTTATGAATTTCCTTGCATAAAGCATTCAAAGTAGCGACACTAGTGGATACATCAGACCAGCCTTATATTCATCAAACGGAAACTGACCATCCACTGTCTATTCTTTACCAAGAGCAAAATTACACCTACATATCAATTAGTCAGCTTGGATGTTTAGAGGCAATTAATAAATTGGAAACCGCTCACTAAGTTTTTCCCATTGAAAATAATGTGAGCTGTTTGTGATTGACATTTTAGTAATGGCTGCCGATAACTCTCGCTACTTGTGCAATTGTTAGATTTTAGACATCCACTACCTGCTAACTGTAAGTAAGCAAGTAGCGGCGGGCTTAATTAAAAGCAGTGACAAGAATGGAGACATACACAGTTGCCACATGTAAGTTGCTTTATCTTTCTAAAAAATTCCATTCCACATCTCTACTTTTATGTTTATAGGAATTTTTCAACTCACTCTGAAAATTTTCCACACTAGCATAACTGTTTACATATTTACACTAGTAAATGCCGTTTGTGCATAACTTTTACCCATTTTTAATGCCAATCTCTAACAAATTAAGAGGTGTTTGCTAATATTAAATATAGGTGCTTGGTTTGCTGATGTGAGAGATAGGTGACATGATACATATGAGTTCAAAATACGCCTCTACCAATAAAACAAGATAATTAATTTGGTACTGTATCTAAGGCTAGAGTGTTAGGCCTCAATTTAAGTTGTTTGAATCAGCATCAGAAATTATTCCATTCTGTTAGAAACCCACTTATCCAATTATTCATTTACATAAATTCCCACAGCCTTTAATGGTAACTTCTGCAGATATGAAAAAAATAAAAAAAATTGTAGAAGCACTAAACAGGCATTCAAAAGTAGAAGAAAATGGGTAAAAACACTCTCCTTAAGAAAAAGTAAGAAATATATGTCTTAATACATTAAAACATATTCATAAATGCTGCTACACACGTAATTGCTTTTGCCCCAGAAGGTAATAAGCACACATATATACAAAAGTGGAAAAATAAATATAAGTGGAGCGCAAACAAACAGGTTTAAAACCACTGTGTATATTGTGCAGAAACAAATAAAATGGTATACTTAAAATTGGCAATGGATGCTCAAGTAGGAGGTAATTACCGTATACGGTAATTAGTGTATTAACATGTAAAGAAAAAAAAAGGATAATTCAAATAAAAGCACAGTCTGTATGACAGGTATGCAATATACAAACAACAACTAGCCTAATAACTAGTACTAAAGTTTATTTATACACATTTTTAAAAACCAATGAATGTGAAGATGCTTACAAAATGCAAGTAAGTGAGCGTCTGCGGGCTTAGAGCACCGCTACTCACAAAAGCCAGATAGTTATCACTAAGTCGAGCAGGATCCCTTCAATAGACACTGGAACCCACAGCGTCTCTGTAATCAAATGTTGTTATGTTCCTTCCTTATACTCAGTAAGCAGTTCCAATTTTTGATAACTGCAGGATTCAAGCTCCGCCCACAGTGTGACATCAGTGCGTTGTGCGTCTACGCGTTTCGCCTTCCAGCTTCTTCAGGACATAAGTATCGGCCATTAGTCTATGGGGCATATTTAAGGGCAATACGAACCCACAGCGTCTCTGTTATCAAATGTTGTTATATTCCTTCCTTCCACTCGGTCGGCTGTTAGCAGTTCCAATTTCGGATAACCTATAGAAGATCATTGCTCCACCCACAGTTTGATGGCAGTGCGTCTCATGTCTACGCGTTTCGCCTTCCGGCTTCGTCAGGATGTAAGTATCGGCCATTAGTCTATGGGGCATATTTAAGGGCAATACGTGTTCCACCCATTCGGTTTCTATTGGTAGTTCTTCAACTGAATCAGACCAATGATCATCTATAGTTGCAATTGCATATCAACTTTATACATACTGGATAAATTCAAATTGCATGTTAAATCAGATATCTTGCTAATAAAATATATTACATTATAAATCATTACATTAAATCAATTTTAAACCATGACCATATAAAACTCTTATTACCAATATATAACAAAATTTAAAAATAGGACATTAATAGGGCAGAGAGACAATACAAAGGACAGAAGGATATTGACATTCAACCAAGAGGTATTTTTAACCTGTCCAACAAAATATTAGACAGAAACCATATCAATTTGCTAAATAAGGGCCTTAAATTTGCCCCTTTACTGGGGATTGATAAATTAGATTTTTTTTGTTGATCTTCAAAAATGTAACTGTCATTTATGTTTGAAGAACTTCTTCTTTAAAGAAAAAATGACTGCCTTTCCTCAAAATTAGCAAAATTCTACTATTGTACACACTATGCTTAAAGATAGATCTGTTCTTCCCAAAACGGAATATATCTGAAGAAATGGTTGCTTTTCAACAAATGGTTAACCATGAAATAAGCCTAATTAAACCTTTTAATAAATAACAACTTAATCTTAACATACAAGAACGAAAAGCACTAAATGATATGCAATTGCAAAAAAGATACCGATATAGTTATCAAACTGGCCAACAAAGGGGGCATTGTCATTATAAGCAGTGAATTCTACCTTGGTGAATCTTTCAGGCTTTTGGGTGACAATGTCACTTATCAGAAATTATTATTATAATTATTATCGATTATTATCCAGACTAGAGAGATACATACTACATTTTCTACGCTGATTGAAAAGGGCTTTACTTCAGGAATATTAAATATAAAAGAACGCCCATACCTGGATATAAAAAATGCGAGAATGCCCTTATTTCTTTTTGCCCAAGATACATATTTCTAATCCCCGAGGTAGACCAATTATTAGAGTATGTAGATCGTATTCTACAACCACTGGTACAGAGTTGCACTTAATATCTAAGAGATACAACAAATTAATTACAGGCTCTAAATATGGTTAAATGGCAACATGATTTTACTAGTTACAGTGGACATTTCCTCCCTGTATACTGTGATAAAGCACGAACTAGGAATTAAAGCCATTGAACATTTCTTTGAGAATTCTCACCATGCAGAAATTTTGGAAGCCATTATGCTTTTTTTCAATAACAACTATTTCTGGTTTCACGGTAATTTCTACTTGCAAAAGTGTGGCATTGCTATGGGCACCAGGTTTGCCCCTAGCTATGCCAACTTGTTTATGGCACACTGGGACTCGGTCTGCTGGGCGAGGATGGCAGTTGGGGTGCAAACCTGGTGCTCTACGAAAGATACATCAATGACCTGTTATTGATTTGGAGAGGTGGAGAACCACTTCTCCAACAGTTCTTTAGCTAGGTAAACACTAACGATTGGGGTAGAACTCTGTCTTTCCAATGTAGTAACACAAAGATAGACTTTTTGGATCTCTCTATCGATATAGAAGATGGCCTAATCAAAACAAGGACCTTCTTTAAGGCCAAAGATGTAAATAGTTACACAGAGAAAACCAGCTGTCACTTTGGTCCCTGGCTTACAAATGTACCAAAGAGTCAATTTATTAGATTGAAAAGAAACTGTACAGAACAAGAAGTTTTCATGAGCTGTGAACAGAAAATTACACAATAATTTTTGGCCAGAGATTATAGTGACAACTCCTTACAAGAGTCCTTAGACTCCTCACATTGGATTGGGAGAGAAGGCCTTTTAAAATATAAAACAAAAGATTCTAATTTAAAGGTCGATTTAGTCCCTTTTCTATGCCAGTTTTCGGGCAATCATAATGGGAAAGTCAGAAACATTATTAAAATATATTGGCAGTTATTGTTAAATGACCCAGTTCTTAAAGAAATTCTGCCAGCAACACCAAAAATTAAACATAGCGGTCCGCCCAATTTAAAAAGAGTTTTAACTGATAATGTAATCTTCAAAAGAAAAGACGAGACTTATAGCAATAATTATTTGACACAATATAAGTTTTTTTTTGGATGTGGCAGGTGTAGAGCATGCCAGAGTACTAAATCTAAGAGATGCCATATCTCACAATTTATAGTCAATGGGAAAAATTACACTGTTAAGGAATGTATCACTTACCATACAAGTGGTGTTGTGTACATGCTCACCTGCCTGTGCGGTCTAAACTATATTGGACATAGAACTAGAACTCTATGCACGAGGATTGGCGAATATGTCTACAATATCAAGTGAAAGTTTGAACAGCATCAACTTTTTTTGCACTTTATGGATTATCATGATGCTGACCCATCCCTTTTACAATTTAAAGGCATTCAGAAGGTGAACAATAACTGGAGAGGTGGTGATTTATTAAAAAGATAGGACAAGCAGAGATGAAACTGATTTTTTAATTTAATACCCTTATTCCACACGGACTCAATAAAGATTTTGAGCTCTGTAATTTTTTAAATTGATCAGGTATATGGATCTTTTATATACAATGCAATTGATATACAATTTTAATATACATGTCCCATAAACATAATCCCTATTTTTAGCAATGAGGGTATATATATAAAAATATATATAATTTTTACCTATATAATATAATTTTTATCCATATAATCTTTTATTTACCAAAAATTGTTTACCATATTTATATGTTTATGCACTTTTATGTACTATATGTTTCCTCTCTACCTGTCCCAATTAACTCTTCATTCAATAAGATATCAATATGTGTATAATAACCCACATAACACACAGGCACTTGCACATTAGATGCAGTATTATAATTAATTATATTAATTCCTTTTTTCTTTTTTTTAGGGTATTTTTAATTAACCTTTTTAATGAAATATATTGTATATATTATCCATGTCCTATTTTTCAATGTTGTTATATGTTGGTAATACGAGTTTTATATGGTCATGGTTTAAAATTTATTTAAATGTGTAATGATTTATAATGTAATGTTGTAATAAATTTTATTAGCATGATATCTGATTTAACATGCATTTTAAGTTTTAAAGTTTATCCAGTCTGTATTAAGTTTATATGCAATTGTAACTATAGAAGATCATTGGTCTGATTCAGTTGAATGTGGTTTCGCAATATGAAAATATGAGATTTTAAGTAGTACCAATAGAAACCAAAGGGGTGGAACAAGTATTGCCTTTAAATATGCCCCACAGACTAATGGCCAATACTTACATCCTGACGAAGCCGGAAGGCGAAACGCGTAGACATGAGATCAAACTGTGGGCGGAGCTTGAATCCTGCGGTTATCCAAAATTGGAACTGCTAACAGCCGACCGAGTGGAAGGAAGGAATATAACAACATTTGATAACAGAGACCCTGTGGTTTCCAGTGTCTTTGGAAGGGATCCTGCTAGACTTGGTGATAACTTTCTAGGTTTTGCGAGTAGCATTGCTCATTTACTTGCATTTTGTAAGTGTCTTCACATTCATTGGTTTTTAAATATGTGTATGTATAAGCTTTTATACTAATTATTAGACTTGAATTATCCTTTTTTTTTCTTTACATGTTCATTGACCTTATACGGAGTCTTACTTGAGCAACCATTGCCAATTTTAAGTATACCATTCTGTTTGTTTCTGCACAATATAAACAGTGGTTTTTACACCCATTTGTTTGCGCGCCACTTATATTTCTTTTTCAACTTCTGTAGATATGCTGATGTGGAGTTTAGTAAGAAGGACAATGCATACATATTTTAAAAAATTCCAACAAAATGGAATAATTTCTGATGTGTATTCAAACAAATTAATTGAGGCCTTAATCTGAAAATACATAAACATGTAATTATACATTCACATACATTTATATTTAGGAATGCATGCATTTAGGGCATGTTTAACCCCTTAAGGACACGTGACATGTGTGACATGTCATGATTCCCTTTTATTCCAGAAGTTTGGTAGTTAAGGGGTTAAATTAGCATGTGCTAAAGGCATTTGATATATCCATAAATTCACTAATCTAGCACCCCACCCTTATAATGGAATTTGAGAGAGCTTGTTTAGGCTTTTATGTTTTTTTTAATGACATTTCTGATAAAGGGAAATTGAATATTATGGTAGCTTAAGTGTATTTATAATCTTAATTTTAGTAATGACAGGAGGCAAGAATTTTGCATTGTCCTTCTCAGGGGTGTATTTACCCAAGGCAAACAAGGCATTTGCCTTGGGCGGCACTTTCTGGGGGGCGGAAAAAAAAGCCTGGCTGGCAGCGGCGGAGCCTTCCGGGCGGGCAGCGAGGGAGCACTAATCCTCCTGTTCAGCTCTCTCGCGCACACTGCAGTGATGCCGGAGCCGGAATATGACAACATTCCAGCTCCGGCATCACTGCGCGGCGGGTGAGGGAGCTGAACAGGAGGATTAGTGCTCCCTCGCTGACTGCAGTCCACCCAGCAGCCCCACTGGACCCCAAGGAAAGTGCTGAGTTTTTTCATGCCTAGGGCAGCACAAAACCAAGATAAAACACTGGTCCTTCTTACTAAACTCCACATCAGCAAATAATTTTAACAAAATAGCAATGTAACCAATCAGAAAGCAGTACAGCACATATATAGAGTGGAGTGACCTAAGCCCCTCCTCTTTCTTGATGCATAACTAGAACTGATAATAAATTGCAAAAACCACAAAATCCAATGAACATGACATCCAACATAAGAAGATGACTGTACTGTCGGAACTACAACAAAAGCGAAACCACCAATCAAGTAACCAGATCCAGAAAATAAACTTAAAAGAAAAGAAGCATTAAAAGAGTAATGCAAGAAATTGACCAAATCATTATTCCAAACACAGCAGGCACCATTATCAAAATAAATTAAAATAACATAATGGTTAATATACAGTTGTGCTCAAAAGTTGGCATACCCTTGGAGAATCGGTAATATATGTACCATTTTTAAAGTAAACATGAGTGAGTCACTCCAAATTACAGTGTTCCAGAAGCTGTTAGTTGTGTCAAGTGTCACGTTTACATCCTCTCCATATGCTATGCCCAACATAAATCACCTTTCCAGGAATAGGAGAAGTGCTGCTCGGCGATCCTATGCTATTATGTAGTCCCACGTCTTTTCACGATGGTAACGATGTCGACGTACATATGCACATCACGCAGAAGACGCGCGTGCACGTTTTGGGGTCAAAGGCCGGATACGGCCAATTGGATTCACAAGATTGATATTTAAACTCACTAATTTCTTCTAATCATTGCCCTGTCGTGGTTTCCATTTGCTGGTTATCTGAGAGTGTGTTTCTGATCGTGATTCTTTGGTATTTGACTTTGGCTTCGTTCTGACTTCCCTGAATTCTGGTATCCCTAACTATTGGCTATTCCTTGCAACTGTGCTTCGTTCTGTGTTCCTGACCACAGCCAGTATTTTGACTATTCTCTGGGATGTTAAGTCCGGCCATTCTATGGTCAGGTTAGACATTATCCTTATTCCTAGTGTGATACTAATACTGCATGCTGGATCATTGTAATCCTGACATCAAGTATTGTCATATCGTGCTCCTTAAAATTAGCACACTGTCTTTTTCCAGGGCAGCCTGTATTTCCTCTTAGGGTTCCTGTGGGTTTTTCTTTGTATCTGGAACAACTCTTTTAGAAGTCAGAAATGTTTCTTAGTCTACCTGACCTTGGCTTGGTATCAAGAGATTCCAGAATTTTCCACTTTTTAGTAAGTGATTGAATAGTACTGGCTGGCATTTGTTCAATGAACTTGTTCAATGAACAGTTCATTTCTGCTCCCCATAGCTCAGTGTCTAGCCTGCTCAGGGCATCCATATGAGAGCTAACAAACTCATTGACTATTTATACAGAGACACTAATTGCAATTTAAAAAGCCACAGCTATGGGAAATCACCCTTTTTTTCCTGTTCAGTCATATTTTCAAAATCAATACCAAAATTTCACATTTTCTGCCAGGGTATGCAAACATTTCAGCACAATTGTATAATACCATTACACATAAAATTAAGCCACATTCCAATATAATCTTACTAGAACATATACAAATGAATAACATAGGCAAGAAGATAAATGATACAGAATGGAAAGAAAACTCCAGAACAACCCAAGAAAGAAACAGAACAGGAGGACAAGGGAGGGAAATTTGTAACTTTACTCTCATTACTACAATTAAGATTCTAAATAGAGTAAAGTTAGTATAATTTTCAATTTTACAACATGACAAGAGGCTCATATTTTGCAATTTTAACGCTGAGACATAAACGAAAGAGCAGGAAGGACAAAAGTAAAACACATGAAACATCTCTTCCCAAAACCAGTCTGTCGATTGCATGATATCCAATACCACCTGCAGAGAAAGCACTCGATGCTGCTGTTCCGCATACCAAACGTGCTTCAAAAGAGGTGTCATTTACACAGTGTGCCAGTGGCAGGCCCATGAAGGCATTGTAACCTCCATGTGGAGGCAGAACCATGGCCACAAACAACTTGGGATTCTACAAGAAAAATGGATTAAAAAAAAACGATGAAGAATCCGACTTGGTTTGATGGGAAGATAGAAAACGTATCCATGTCAAAAGCCTGAATGTCTGAAACTCAACAAAACCAAACATAACAAGACTACTACTATCCAAACGTTGATGGAGCGACAGCCCATCATCCGTTGACCACGTACTCAAAAAAGCAACACCACCTTGACATCCCACAAGCTAATATACTTCTGACCCAGAGGGTGATGCAAATGAACACCATGCAATAGGCAATATGCAAGGCAATTCTTACCAACTGGAACCCTCTGAATAGGAATGTGGGCAGCCAAAATGGTCAAACATACAATGTTAATAGATAAGAAAGTACCAAAGAAAACAGATACAAGGGTAGTAAAGGGACAGTGATCCCTCTCAAGATACCATTGTGACCAGGAATCCCATGCAGACAAATAGCAGCGTCTAGTGCCCGGTGCCCACAAATCTCATAATAGGTCCTGAGCAGCTGTCGATAATATAGAAACCTTCCAGGATCCACGGAAAGCATCTGTAACATGTTCAGCCTCACCTTGCGGCATTTGCAATAGTTGTCTTCCTGATAAATGCAGAACTGCCGTTCAGCGGTCATGCAGCAATATATCTGACTCCTGCAACATCTTGGTGGACGCCGGCCGCTGCGGATCCACACCAATGTGTAGCCCCACGTCCGCCCACGCTACTGACGACACCGACGTGCATGTGACATCACGTAAAGGACGCGCACGCATATTCTGTGGTCAAAGGCCGGGTACGGCCAATCGGATCTGATGGAGGCTTATTTAAACTCCTTTTTCTTTTTACTCATTGCCCTGTCATGGTTTCCCTTAGTGGTTGTCCGAGAGTGTGTTTCTGAGCATTTATTTCTGATTATTGACTTTGGCTCCGTTTTGACTTCCCTGTATTCTGGTATCTCTGACTTTTGGCTTTCCCTTATCTTTCTGTGTCCCCGACTTCAGCAAGTATTCTGACTATTCTTTGGTACGTTAAGTCCGGCCATTCTAAAGCCTGGTAAGACGCTACATTGTAGTCCTAGGTGTGATACAGTTCGACGTGCGGGCTCATTTAATAATCCTGACTTTACGACATGGCCATAGATCCTGTAGAATTGTGTCAGCATATAGCAGCTTGCGAGAGAAAGCTAGAGGAAAATGATCATCATATGAATCAATTTGCCCAGGCTTTCAGTATGATTCTTACTCCAACAGCACATCTACAGCCTGTAGTTTCTCCGACTATGTCACCTCCACCTAGTGTACCTACACCTATAGTACATAAGGCACCTACTATCTCCCTATCTCCTCCCCCTCATTTTTATGGTGATATTCAAGAATTCTGGGGATTCCTGATCAAATTGAGTCTCATTTTGAGGCCTCACCGGGATCTTTTCCCTCAGATAGAGCTAAGATTGGTTACGTAATGAACCAACTTAAAGGTAAAGCCTTAGCTTGGGCCAATCGGTTATGGGAGAGTAATAGGAGTATTGCACATAAATACCAGGAATTCCTTGAGGAATTCAAATTAACATTCAAACCATTAGGCAGGGAGGATGACGCCTCCACTGCCCTAATGTATATCAAACAAGGGAACCAGTCTATCTCAGATTATGCAATAGCATTTCGCACCTTGGCTTCTGAAGTAGACTGGATGAATAGCGGGTTAATCTTTGCATTTAAAAAAAAGGATTATCCGAAGGAATTCTGGACGAGATTGCTGCCAAAGATCTACCTAAAAAAATTAAATGAGTTTATCACATTTGTTATGCAAATTGATAAGAGATTAAGAACCAGAGAAATTACCAGAAACACAACTAGACGTATGATTATCATTGGCATCTTGTTTCTCCAGACCTGTTGTTCCTGACCTCCCTACACAGTCCAAACCCGAACCTATGCAGTTGGAGGTCACTACACTGTCAGAGGCAGAAAGACAATATAGGAGAAAAGAGGGTCTGTGCCTATACCTCTGGTAACAACCAAAATAGGTTTCTCATTGATATTATGGTCTTGTGTAACAAAAATAACTTTTCATGCACAGCCCTGATGTGCAGCAGGAAACTTAATTGACATACAATTTGTTTAAAAACTATTAATACCTTTCAAGAAGAGATCATCACCTCTCGCTGTTGAGGCTATTGATGGGAGACCTCTCTCTCACCCTTGATTAGCCATTAAACCTTGCCTATTAACATTTCTATTGGAGCTCTACACAAGGAAGACAATACATTCCAGGTAATTGCTTCTCCTTCTTGTCCCATCATATTAGGATTTCCTTGGCTCACTAAGCATAATACTCATATTGACTGGGCAAAGGGAGAAATACTGGAATGGGGTAAAGAATGTACAGAGGTATTACCCATTACCAAAAGAGTGGGCATCGTTACTTTACCCATTACTACGCCTCAGACTCCTGAGATTCCCATACAATACTGGGAGGTAAAGGAGGTATTCAGTAAGAATCAGACCAATATTCTACCTCCTCACAGACCATATGACTGCTCCATAAATCTGCTACCCGGCGCTATGCCGCCCAAGGGGGTAGTGTATGCCTTATCTCCACAGGAGAGTAGAATAATGGAAAATATATATTACAGATTCCCTAAGGGCCACATACGTAAATCATCCTCACCTGCTGATGCAGAGTTCTTTTTTGTATCTAAAAAAGATGGTGAATTACGCCCATGCATTGATTACAGAGCATTAAACAAAATCACCATAAAGAATGCCTATCCCATTCCCCTCATCTCCGAATTGTTTGACAGACTCAAGGGTGCTAAATTCTTTACTAAACTAGATCTCAGGAGTGCATACAATTTGGTAAGGATTAAGGTGATTATGAGTGGAAAATGGCATTTAACACTAGGAGTGGGCATTATGAGTACCTTGTCATGCCATTCGCATTATGCAATGTTCCGGATGTATTTCAGGAGTTTATTAACGATGTACTCAGAGACTATATTTATTAATTTGTCCTAGTATACCTGGATGATATACTTGTTTATTCCCCTGACCGTCAGACTCACCACAAACATGTCAAACAAGTGCTGCAAACCTTGCTTGAAAATAAACTTTATTGCAAACTTGAGAAATGCATCTTTGATCAGACTGAGGTACAGTTCTTGGGATATAACATTTCCACCTCTGGGTTTCAGATGGATCCTAATAAACTAGAGGCTGTTCTACATTGGCCATTGCCCAATGGATTAAAAGCCATTCAAAGATTTATTGGGTTTGCTAATTATTACAGAAAATCTATCAAAAGGTTCTCTTCTGTGATAGCCCCCATCACCAATATGACACTTAGGGGGGATAATTGTACGATATGGTTCCATGGTCCCACTTGTCCATGAATTTCATCGTGGAACTTCTAAATTCTAATGGCTATACCACCATCCTTATGGTAGTTGACCGCTTTTACAAGATGGCTCACTTTGTTCACTAAAGAAATTGCCCTCCTCATAAGACTTGGTTATTATCTTTATACAGGAAATTGTCAGGCTTCATGGCATTCATCATAATATTGTTTCTGACAGAGGTTCTCAGTTTGTGTCCCCGTTTTGGATGGCTTTCAATAAACAATTGGGAATTGAATTATCATTTTCTTCTGCTTACCATCCTCAAACCAATGGCAGGGTTTGAAAGGGCTAACCAGTCATTGGAATTTTATTTGAATTGTTTTAGTAATAGCACGCAAGATAACTGGTCCGAACTACTTCCTTGGGCTGAGTTTGCTAGGAACAATGCTAACAATTACTCTTCTGGTCATCGCCTTTTCTTTGTTAATAATGGTCATCATTCTACTGTACTGCCGGCTGTTTTCTCTGACACTGCTATGGATTATCACCCCGCTGCTATTCGTGAGACTTGGACCAAAGTTCAGTCTGCTCTCGAAACTGTGTCTGCTCATTTCAAATTTAAAGCTGATAAAAGGAGAGGTGCCAACCCTGTTTACCAAGTGGGTGAGAGGGTGTAGTTATCATCGCGCAACACTAAGCTGAAGGTTTCTAGCATGAAGTTTGCTCCCAGGCTCCTTGGTCCATTTCGTGTCATTCAAAAAATTAATCCTGTCTCATATTATTTGACACTTCCAGCCTCTTTGCGTATTCCCAATACTTTCCATGTTTCCTTGCACAAACCACTTATTTGCAAAAGGTATACTGTCCCCAGTATTCCATCTCCCCCATTGGTTGTTTCTGGACAGGAGGAGTATGAGGTCTCTTCCATAATCATTCCCAGATTTTTCAATATTTGGTTGATTGGAAGCGGTATGGGCCTGCCGAGCGCCCTTGGGTTCCAGCTTCTAACATTCATGCTGGCCGCAAGATTCACTCTTTTCACGCCAAGTTTCCTTCAAACCTGGTCCTGCTCGCCCGGTGGGCGGTCTTCAGGTGGGGGGTAATGTAACATGTTCAGCCTCACCTTGCGGTATTTGCAAGTCGCCTTGATAAATGCAGAAGTGCTGTTCAGCGGTCATGTGGCAATATATCTGACTCCTGCAATATCTTGGTGGATGCCGGCCACTGCAGATCTACACCAATATGTAGCCCCATGTCAACCCACGCTAATGATGATGTCGATGTGCGAGTGACGTCACGTAAAGGACGAGCATGCCCGTTCTGGGGTCAAAGGACAGGTACGGCCAATCGGATCTGAAGGAGGCTTATTTAAACTCCTTTTTTCCTTTTACTCATTGCACTGTCATGGTTTCCCTTATTGGTTGTCTGAGAGTGTGTTCCTGAGCATTTATTTCTGGTTATTGACTTTGGCTTCGTTTTGACTTCCCTGTATTCTGGTATCTCTGACTTTTGGCTTTCCCTTGTTGTTGTATTCCGTTCTGTGTCCCCAACCTCGGCAAGTATTCTGACTTTTCTTTGGTACTTTGAGTCCAGCCATTCTATGGCCTGGTAAGACGCTACCTTCTAGTCTTAGGTGTGATACAGTTCTACGTGCAGGATCAATTAGTAATCCTGACCGCATCCAGGCTACAGGATGTAACCGTAAATCAAGGATCAAAGGATGAATGTTCCTTCTCGGATCCATCAGAAGAACATCTGGTAGAACTAGAGGGTCCTTCCACGAAAGATCAAGAATATCCAAACCAAGGTTGATTCTTCCACAGCAGGCATCCGACTCAATATCCACCACGATATCCACTTGAAGTCCAAAGACTGCCTGACCATTCCAGGCTTGCATATTCCAGAGCCACAAAAGGAGTTCCATCCAAAAGTCCTCCGCCTGCAGGACTTCCGGATCATAAGAAGACATCCCCTTGAGGAAAATCCTTCAGGAAAATCACCTGGATGAATGAGAAGCACAGGCCCTGGCCAGAAAGTGTAGAGGAATCAGCTCCCTCAGAAGTAACTTCCGAAGCTTGTTGTGGACAGTCACCACCTTGGAGAAACTGTCCTGACAGATCGCATCGCAAAGCGTGTCTGTCATCGCATTCTCAATGTCTCAGAGCAAAACAGAAAAAGATCATCTAAGTAGACAATACAATGAAACCCCTGCACTCGTAAATATTCCATGACTTGCATCATAAGCTTGGTGAAGCACCAAGAAGCTGAGCAGAGGCAAAAGGGCAGGCAGGTAAACTGACAATGAATGTCATTCAAGCAAAATTGCAGAAAATACAGTTTTGGTAATCTGGGTGAAATGGCACTGAGAATTAGGCATGCTTGAGATCGAGACAGCAAAAAATTGAACAGCTGGATGTAAGGTTTTTTTACTGTAAGAAGAATAAGGATGTGGAATTCTCTGCCTGAAGAAGTGGTTTTATCAGAGTCCATACAGATGTTCAAACAGCAACTAGATGCATACTTGCAAAAACAGAATATTCAAGGATATAATTTCAATGTAGGGTAATAGCTGCTTGATCAAAGGATAAATCTGACTGCCATTCTGGGGTCAAGAAGGAATGTGTTTCCTTGTTTGTTGCAAAATTGGAAGTGCTTCAAACTGTTTTTTTTTTTGCCTTCTTTTGGATCAACGGCAAAATACAAATGTGAGGAAGGCTAAACTTGATGGACGCAAGTCTCTTTTCAGCTATGTAACTATGTAACTAATGTCTGCCTAACACAGAGAAGCAGACTCCAAGCCAAAATCTAGGGGATCCCCCTTCACTTTTAGCAGGCCACTGAAGAGGGGAAAGTATCCAGGCCTCAAAGCCCAAAAATACTGGCAAAACCCATTAGGTAAGAACCACACCTTTATAAAGCTTGTAAAAAATCTAGGACCCTAGGGATCAAAGATTGCAGGCACTACCACAGCTGGGAGCAAAGCCCCAACAGCAATCGACTGCTGGGAAATGAGGGATCGAGGAGAAGTGCCTAAAATTCAACGGCCGCAGCTGCAAAATATTTGTTGTGTGCTCTTAAGATGTCTGCTGGCCAAATGTGGTCTGCATGCTCAGCAAACTGCAGCATTTTCCAATGGATACTTAAGGGGAACCTGCATGCTAAGGCGTCCAGAAAGGGCCAAGGGAGCTCCAACTGAATCCCTTTAAAGTGCAGCCAGTGTGCAGTTCCTCAATCAAAAGCCTGAAAGAACAGAAGACCAACACCACTAAAGCAGGGGACTAAAGCAATTTTCCCCCCAGAACACTATGGAAGAAGGCAGGCCTTAACAGGAAAGGGACACATAAATACACAGAGTATTATTAAACAATAATAAAAATGTAAAAGACATGTATATATAAAATACAGCGTAGGAAACTAAAGAGACTATATATATATATATATATATATATATATATATATTATGAAAATAAAGAGAAAGCAACACTCTGACCCAATTTTGTGCAGTGGAAAAGAAAGAGGAAGGGCTTAGGTCACTCCAGTCTACATATGTGTTGTACTGATTTCTGATTGGTTACCTTGTTTCTATATTAAAGTTGTTTGCTTCTGTGGAGTTAAGTAAGGAAGGATAAAGCAAAATACACTCCTACTGTCATGTTGTAAAGTTTCTATACTTTTTAAAGGAACACTAGAACATTAGCAATACAAATATATATTCCTAATGTGTCCCTCTGGTCTCACCCAGGACTAAGGCGGGCAGGGACATTGCACCCAGACCACTTCAATGAGCTAAAGTGGTTTGGGTGCCTATAGTGTTCCATTAATGATTCTTTATGACACCTTTAAACATATTGTATGTGGTAATAAGTAATGAATGAAAATGTTTTCAATATTTGACACTTATTAATCCTTACCATGCATGATGTTTAATGCTGCACAGAAAACAGCCTGCATGTATGATTATTGAATTGCCTGAGAAACTCCAAAAAACACATTGACTGCAATTGAAAGAAATCTTCATCAGAGCATTTTCCTAGTGTTATTTCATCGTCCATTGTCAGAACTGAACAGTAATTCTGAGAATCTTTTTTTTTTTTTTTACCTTGATAAAACATTTAAGAATCAGCTGATGCTTTGGTTGAGTTCCTGCAGCCTTTTCAATACTTCCTCCTCGTGCCTTCGATCAATCTTTTTTTTTCTCTCACACCTTGGAGACGTACATGTGTTGCTCGACATGAAAGTAATAGAAAGAGGGCCTAGCTGGAAGCCAACGACTGCTGTTTTGCCTCATCTTTTAAATAATTGACAATGCCTCCCTTTGATTAATCTGGTGCTAAAAGCAGCTCAAAGTTTGATAGAACTACAGCCCGTTCAAACATCCAATAAACCAAAGGAAAACACTGCAGTGCTAGGATTAATTACCCTGAATTAATATTTTATAGATTAAATAATGTGTATTTTTGAGACAAAATGGAATGTCAGTTGGTTTTCCCAAGACAGGGAGGGAAAAAAGTAACAGCGTTCATTTCCATTAAAACTACGCACCAAACACTGCCTATAAATGTTATGGATGGGTTGCCTTTGTAATTTCATTTTGGCACTTTAATTCTTTATTCTGCAGAGTGTTTCATCTTCAGCCGAGATGCTTCATTTCCAGCATAGACATTTTGGCATCAATTATAGAACTCTGTCGAAGAAAAAAAATGAAGTTGGCTAATTAGAAGACAATTTATCAGACTTTTTTAAAAATGTGTGCAAGAGGTTAGATAGCAATATTATTTTTTAACAAATTCTGGTAGTTTGCAAGATGTGATACGCAAGGCATGCCATACATCATCTTGTAACTGTGCTTGAACTGAATTTAGATTAATCTTAGTATTTCCACTACAGAGCAAATTGTAATTATAAGATGCTACTCCCTTTGTGGATGTAATAATTATTTGAGTTGATGACTTTAAAATGGACCTTTCATCCAAGTATGGGGGTGGCAAAGTTCACTACTATTAAATTCTATAATTTAAACTGCTTTTAGTGATAGCTGAAAGAACAGTAAATGATAGGCTAATTTTGTATTATTCTGAAAGCAATTTGTGCTCTTGACTTAAACAGACCAGAAAACATGAAAAAGTGTGTATTTTTGCATCATATGCTCCACCAAATAAATCCCATATTTCCCTATGGCATAATAATTTTGACCATTCATAGTATTATAATATCACACTGTCATATTCATGTTGCAGTACAAATGCTTATAATAAAAATGCTGCACCAAGACTAGAAAACAGTCTAAAAATTTGAACATTTTGAGCTTGTATTACATTTATATTCGCATTTAATTATATATTGCTAAAAAGAAAAATGATACCAAAAAATGTATGTGTGTGTCAGGGGCGTACCTAGAGCATTTGGCACCTGGGACGGGTCCTATTTTTGGCACCCACCCTTGTTCTCCCCCTCAACTTGAAATATAAAAACAACTAAAAAAATGTTTTAATGTATTTAGCACTAAGCAGTGTTTGTGTTTTTGAATGTATGCATGTTTTTGTATGGAGTATATGTGAGTGAATGTAGCGGTGTGTTTGTATGTAGTGTTGGCGTTTGAATGCAAGCATGCATTTGTGTGGTATTTGAATGCAGTGGTATGGTTATATATAATGGTGGGGTTTGTATGTAGTGTTGACGTTGAAATGCATGAGTGTATTTGTGTGTAGTGTTGGCGAGATTTTTAGATGTCTGCACATATACACATACATGGACATACACACATGTAGATTAGAGATGTCGCGAACTGCTCGCCGAACTGTTCGCGAACTGTCCGCCGGCAAACAATAGCGTGTTCGCGTTGGGCGAACATATGCGATTTCCGGTCCGCCCCCTATTCATCATCATTGAGTACACTTTGACCCGGAACCTCACAGTCAGCAGACACTTCCTGGGAGGGAGGGTCTGCTGCTGATTGGCTGGAATGTGTCTGCTGACTGTGAGGTTCCGGGTCAAAGTGTACTCAATGATGATGAATAGGGGGTGGACCGGAAATCGCATATGTTCGCCCAACGCGAACACGCTATTGTTCGCCGGCGGACAGTTCGCGAACAGTTCGGCGAGCAGTTCACGACATCTCTAATGTAGATATATATACACACAAACACAGTCACACACAGATACACATTGACACACATGCAGACATCGTGGCGACTCTAGGAACAATATATATGGGGGGCACATAAGATACCACAGTCCAAACAGGAGGGGGAGGTGGAGCAGTAAAACTTCTCACTATGGGGTGGGATGGGGATGGGGTAATATGCTGCCATTGGCTGTCTGATGCCAGCATGCTGTGTTCTGCATGCTGGCATCTGACTACACTTTTGCATATAATTCACATTAGTCACTCAGATTTCTTGTTGTGGGCTGGCTGACACCTCTTAATTTCAATCTTTGTTTAGCAGTTAACTCCTCTATTTGCTATCCTTTGTGGGATTGCCATATTTAAGGACACCAAATAAGATGCTATCTGCTAAACAGCACCCTCATTTGGTCTCTTTAAATATGGAAATCTCACATATGGGCACCAATCCAGGGAATGATCTACTAAACAGCTAAAGGATAAAAAAACGCCCTTTTCTTATTTTCAGTTGTTTAGTAGATAAATCCCTTATTTGTTATCCTTATGTGGGATTGCAATATTTAAGGACAGGAAATAAGGGTGCTATCTACTAAAAACATAAGCAGAGATACACAAAATCACACACAGAATCACAGATATACAAAAACACAATCAATGAATCACACACATACAATCACAGACACACAATCACATACACACACAAACATTACATACATACACACATTTAATAATTAAGAGGTCCACCCAGTCTCCCTACCTTGCTCTAGGAGGGCTGGAGTGGATCCTCAGTCCATGGTGGTCGGTGGTTGCTGCTGGGATCTCTGTGCTCTTTCTGCACTTGAGATGTCGCGAACTGTCCGCCGAACTGTTCGCGAACTGTCCGCCGGCGAACAATAGCGTGTTCGCGTTGGGCGAACATGTCCGATTTCCGGTCCGCCCCCTATACGTCAACTTTGACCCGGAACCTCACAGTCAGCGGACACTTCCTGGGAGGGAGGGTCTGCTGCTGATTTGGTGGAATGTGTCTGCTGGCTGTGAGGTTCCGGGTCAAAGTTTACTCAATGATGACGTATAGGGGGCGGACCTGAAATCGGATATGTTCGCCCAACGCGAACACGCTATTGTTCGCCGGCGGACAGTTCGCGAACAGTTCGGCGGACAGTTCGCGACATCTCTATTCTGCACAGGTCCATTGCACACCCTGTAATGACGCAGAGGCCGCGATGACATCATATCCTGGCTGCCCTGCTCACTGCAGGGCGAAGACCGTCAGACACAGTCAGATGCACACAGTCCCACACACAGTCACTCACACACAGTTACAGGTAGACAGTCAAACACGCAGGCAATCACACAGGCAGACAGTCACACATACACAGATTCACAGACAGTCACACACACAATCACAGACAGTCACACATACACACAACACAGTCACAGACAGCCACACACATAATCACAGGCAGGCAGTCACACACACACACACAGTCACAGACAGTCACTCACACACACACACACCCACAATCACAGGCAGACAGTCACACACACACACACACACACAGTAACACAGACAATCACAGGCAGACAGTCACACACACACACAGTGACACACACACACAGTCACAGACAG